AAAAGTAGTTTTGAAATGAAGGCATTATTTGACAAGAAGTTGAAATCAATTGTTCCGAGGTTAAACATTTTCTGAGTTCCCTGCARTAGAATTAAATATTTTTTAATTTACTTACAAGGGAAGATGGGCTGGAAGCACCCTGGAAGGGCCAAATGCTCTCTGGCTTATATCAGGAAAACGCATAGACTCTTTGACATCAATTGGATGTATTCACTGAAGTTTAAATATTCAGCAGGATTCATTGCTCTCATAACATCAGTTTTGTGTTAATTTCCATGAAGAACAATTCAAAGCAGAGTATTTCTGACAGTCTCATTCAAAAAGTTTGATCCTCTGAAGCTAAATAAATGTAGCTCCTAATGTAATAAAATATTGAAGTAAACATGGCTAACTTTTGCTTTCAGTTACTTGAGACCAAAAGGAAATAAATATAGTGATTAGCTAAATTATAAAAGCACTGAAGGATTTTCTGGTTATTATTACTGGTTATGAGGGCGAAAGTGCTAAATAAATGGCAGGGGGCTGTGTTTGATTCTTTGCTAGTATTAATTCTTTATTTTTCTTCTCATACATGTACTTAYTGTGTATGAAACTCCAGCAGTAGGCAAAGCACAGAGAGGAGAGTGTCTGATTTGCATGATGGGATGTAACTGCATTATATCTTTGCATGACTGTCTCTGGACCATTTTTTTCTAGTTCAATGGTTCCCAYTCTTTATACTGAGCAAGAGCAAAATGTCTGCTGCAGATCCCAGGGATCTCCTCAACTCATTCTATACCCAGCAATGAAATTCTTCTCTCAAATGCTCCCAACTAATTCAGCATCAAGGCTTCATGCCATGGTGTCTTCACTGTATCCACCTCCCTTCCTTTATGGCTGGCTRTTTGTCCTACTGGGTTATGGAGTTGTCCTCTAGGGACTCCACCTGAAAGACACAGGTTTGGGAGAAAATTTTGTTCCATCACAAGGGAGAGGGTACAGAGGAATACAAGGCGAACAGTGATCATACAACCAAGTTGGTCAGAGAAACATCTCTGCACCCTTATCAGCATTTTGGGAAGTCGTGAATTCCCTCAGTTTCTAGAACTACACTGGAAATCAGGAATTATATTTTTCAGAATATAAACAAAAAGCCAACTGAAGAGGGATCACCATCCCAAGGAGAGCAAGGGGGGATCGAGAGGAGGATCCTGAAAAACAAGTGGCAGCACATGAGCCCATGGGTGGGAACCACTGTCCTAGCCACTTTTCATGAAGGATGATGTGATCTGCGCATGCTTCATACTCTGAGACTGAGCCATGCACATGCTGTTTTAATGAAGGAGACTGTGTCATGAAAACAAGTATTTCCTTACTCTTTAAAAAAATAAAAAATGAAGAAGAAAAAGAGGGAAGAAAACAAAAAACCCCAACAGACCCAGACTTAATCCCTTCAAAAAGAGACTAAAGTCCTTTGTTTCTCTGATGAAAGCTAGCCAGTTGTCTGTAAAAAAATTTTTGTTTTGGTTTGGTATACAGTATATTGTTGGATTTTTCAAGTGAAGCAGATGAGTGATTTCCTAATCATTCTACTACCCTGGCTGCCGAGATTAAAACAAAATTTTCTACATTTCTTATATAAACATACTGTTATGAGTCTGGCTGTTACATCAAGGATTAATTATCAGCATTCAATTAATGAGATAAGATTCAGTTCAGGTAACTTTAGCTCAGTTAGAGGCCTTTTTACTGTTTTTTAAATTTAGATTTCTCTCTAGTGAATAATGAGAGAAAAGTTCTCCCAATTGGCAAGTCATCCCAAACAAAAACAGGTCTGAAATGAATTCTGCAGGTTGCCAACTCCCCACTGACTTAAAAAAAGAATCTAAAGAACAATCTTAGACATGACATTTAACTTTTCAGTCAGCTTAAGACAAGATAAATTCCAGCCTAAACCTTATATGCTGGAGCAACAAATGGTTTCAATTACTTTCCTGAACTAACACCAAAGCAAAAAATTACCCTAGAAAGACAATTTGTGTTGCTTTGGGTTAATATTAATTACCTTCCAAAAAAAAAAAAAAAGTAAAATAAATTAAAAAGTAAAATGTTGTGACTATATTGAACAGGAAACACTGCAGCAGATAAATGATCTTTTCTGATGAATGCTGAGGAACATTTCTATTTTTATTTATTTATTACTCTTTGCAAAGTACATATGAAATCTTGGACCATATGAAATCTCATGATTCATTTTCTGAGACAGCTATGTGGCAAAGATTCTTGGCTATGTGGCAAAGATTCATTGAAATAAATGATGAGGTGAATGTTTTCAATTATGTTTGTTGTCCACAGATCATTTTTCCTGTTGATCTGGCCTTTATAGATCCTTGCACTGCCTTCTTGTCATTTGGAAAGGAAAACACTTCCTATAGGGCAAATTTTGACAGATCTAGTCTCTGACTCCAGTTTATGTTCCTTGCAGTATCTTTCTAAGTTAGTTTTCTTCCGTCAGCTCATAAATACTCCCCAGAAATATTATGCTTCCAGTGATAGAAAATCCAACAGCCTAATGTGCATTAATTTCATTTGAAGGCATGTGCTCCAGAGAGTTTCTGGAGGAAGAGTCATATACCATGTGTGATGGCGACTGTCTTCTTCTATTATAGTAGCATACAGTTATAAATAAGCAATGGGAAGCCTCTGTGTCACTATTTTTCTACTTCTTCAGCTTTCAGATTCTATACTTTAAACATATTCTTGCTATTAGCACTTTTCCATACTGTGAATAAACCAAATCTTGTGAGATTTAATAAATTATCCCAAACCAATGGATTGTGAGTGAGCATGATCCATCTTTGAGGAAATATGAGTTTTATGCTAGATTTCATCCTTATAGAAGCCTCCTTCTCACTCTCTAAGGTCATTCTGAAAGCTCTTGGATCAAGATGTTCAATCTTGAAATCCTAATATACATCTTCCTTGCTTAGAAGGTTTTGGATATACTTCTGAAACAAAACATCTGAGATTAACTTATCACTGGTGAYCTGTTAATTCTCCCACCAGGAAAAGCTGATCTACACAACAAGTTTGTTGCATATACCAATTTTTATATCTTTGGGAAAATGTCTTGTATTTTATTACAACAGAACAGACTTTCTCATCCTAAAATTATTTTAGTTTATTCCACCTTGTAACTTATTTTACAGTCTTTTTCAGTCTACAGAGATTACCCCCTTGGCAATAATGCTTCACTGCTCTGTGTTGTTTTTTCACTCTGAAAACCTCACAAGCTCACTCTGTCTGACATTTGGGGTCCCAGAAGTTTACATTGCTTGGCAGACTCTGTAGTCACTCAGTTATATTTTTTTGTGCCTTCCTTTGAATTAAAATCCTATCATGATGTCATATTCTTTTTGGCAATCTTTAACAAAATCAATTCCTTTTTTGAAGTTTGCTCTCATTACTAGTGAGACCTAGAATTTGGTTTCCCTGCTTTATATACATAAAGTCATACGTTAAGTCATTCAGTTGACTTTAGTTGCCTTCTTTCATGCCCTTTGCAAGCTTACAGGTTAGCTGTCTTCTTCTTCTTTATGTATTTTTCTACATAAAGTATCTGAATCCTAGAAGAAACCTAATTTCACAGAAATTTGATGGAGTTAAAACAAATTATTTGCTTCATAAAGCCCAAGAGTTCTCAAACAAGATATCTTAAAATTTAGGAAAGTGATAGTTATGATGAAAATAGGTCACAAGATTGTCCCCGTCTTGTTAGAAAGAAAATCATTGGTTGGGACTCTTCATGCATCATTCTTCGCTGAAAGACATGCTTCTTGATCCTCACATCACCAACTACAATCCTGGCAATGATATATAAAAGACCTGCAACAGCTTTGATCTGCAGATCTTAAGCCAAGTAGGAACTTTGCATGCTGTGAAACTGCAGCATTTTTGTTAGGACCACTACTGCTTTGAAAGTTGCAAAGTCTCACACTGAAATATCTAGGAGTGGTTTAAAAGGCAGACTTCTTTCCCATCCCTTAACTTCACATTTTTTAACAAATGTGCATTTAAAAAAAAAAAAAAGTTAAGAAGTAATAAAAGTAATAAAGTAATAAAAACAGCAAATAAATCAAATACTTATGCAAGTCTTCAGAGCATATTTAAGCTGATTGAAACACTAGCAAATAGCTTTTGTGCTACTGCTGTCAGTGATATTCATAACAGCCTTTGGAATTGTAATGGTCATCAAGCTGTAAGTAGGGTTGCTGATGCTGCTAAGATACAAGTAGGTAGATGCAGACAGGGAGATATGATTCTAGATATGCTTTGTCACTGAAGAAGTGTCTTTGATCAYTAAGCCTATAAGAAGACAGTGCAAGGAATCAAATCAGAGGAACAAATATGCCACTATATCACAGTTTACATGGTTCACCTCAGTTCCTAGTGTAGTGAGAGAAGTATGAAATTGAATGGTGGGAAGAAATGGGCAACCTGTTCTATCATGTATCAAGTAATTGCTTGGTGATGTCTTTCCAGTGTTTTGCTTGTAATTTGTTTGGTCCACAGCGCATCTGAGTTTCTTTTGCTCCTGGCTATGCACATGAGTTATTCATTTAATAGCCTGCCATGAACCCAGTAGTTAAATAAAGCACTGAACTGAAAGGGCCAAGCATCCTTATCAGTAGACAATATAACTGCCTAAATAGTGCTGTTGCTTGTCTTAATGATAAATGTAATGCTTCTGACATTCTTCAGGAGCAAAAGCACTGATGTGTTATGTAGAGAGGATAGCAAGACCCTCTGGTAACATTTTCAACGTTGAAAAAACATGCTTGTAAAAAGTAGTTAATTATCTGTGAAGCTTAGTATTTACAAAGACATTGATGTATTATGGTAGCCCCAGCAGTGTCCTTATGTACAAAACATTTATTTAGCCTCTTGTGTATTTAAAGCATCATAAAAACAAGTTTAAAATGTACAAAGGAGGAAAATGATTACTTTTGCTTATTTTGTAGCCAAAAGCTGGGTCTCTTGGATCGGGTTCGTGGTACCAATACTAAAGGAAAGCTATTTACCCCTCTGAATGTAGATGCCATTGAAGAAAGTCCTTCAAAAGAGCCTAAGAATGTTGGCTTGAATAATAAGGAGCGTTTTCGCACTGCATTCCGAATGAAAGCATACGCTTTTTGGCAAAGCTCAGAAGGTAGCTCTGTGTTGATTTCTTTCAATCCATCCCTTTTTCTCCCCTTTTACTTTGTTCCTCTACATCTTCTGTTGAAGGTTTGCAAGTTTCTGGGTCAAGAATGATATGTTCCTGGTTTTGTGTGCCGCATTTGTGAAGGTTCCAGAAATTACTGGATTAGAATACTAGAATACTAGATTCCAGGCAAAACAATGCTTGAAATGAGTCTTCGGCCCTACAAAGAAAACAGCAGTTGATTTGATATAGAGCTTAGGATGGAATCAGCTAATTTCTTATTTGCTTCCCTGGCTGATTTCCATCCTACTCTCCCTGAGACAGCTGCCCCATRAGTGTCCATGCAACGTCACGGAGCATTTTTCTTCTCAGCATCCCTAGACACGCATTCCTCTSTTCTTGTCTAATGGTGTCTAAATARCAATTTTCCTTTATTGTGCCAGCTGGCCTGTGTGCCAGAGAAGAGTCTCAGGAGTTCTGCTCTTGAGGACTTCTACTCTTGAGTGGGCAGAGTCTGGCTGTCTCCACATGGAGCTTGGGTGTCTTCACCCATGGAGTTAAACAAGCTCAAAGCAGTGTGGGAAAACAAGTTGGCTTGTTCTAGCCTCACAATTTTGGTAGATACTTGTAAAAGATCCTAATACCATGAACTTTTAAATACATTTGAAAAGAAGGAAAGATTCCAGGATTTCAAAAGTGCCTGGAATTTGAGAGGAATTCCCTTAGAAAATGTGTCTTAGACCTGTCCTCGCAGAATTTTGAATGTAAGAATTGACTAGAGCAAGAGGAAACCGCKATAGATACTCATTTTCTAAATTTCATTTTGTTTACCTACTGCTTTAGTAAAATGCAGCTCCCTCTCCTGGTCTTGTGTTCACACCTCTTTTTGGCCTGCATTGCAGATGCGGGAACAGGGGAACCCATGGCAGAAGATAGAGGTGACAGCAATGAGTTCCTCATGGAAGATATGATCCCCACATTCAAGACAGCCATCCGAGCTGTCAGGTATGTGTCTTGGGCTCTCCTCTCTGCTCACTTTGTCTTTGAAATCTAGTGTTTCAGGAAATCACATCAACACAATTTTATATAATTTATTGTYCCTATTGATTTTTTTTTTTTTTTTAARTAGWATACCCGCTTGGTTTCTGACACAGCATTTACATCTGTCCCGTGTTCCAGCCTCAACTCAGCAAGGCAGGATGTTATTATTTAGGAAAATGTCCCCTCCCACATCCTGTGCAAATCAAACTGAGTCATGTTATTTTCCCGTAAATTCGATCATGAGTCAAGGTTTTCTTTCTTGTCAACCTAGACACTAAAAAGAAGTAATTATTTCAGATGAAACCTCTTACTGAGTTTTCAGGGTCATGATCAAGGAGATGTTTGAACCCCAATTTTTTTTTYYTTTTTTTTTYCTTTTTTTTTAATAGAGGCCTACTGTTGTCTAGTTGGTCAAGAATTGGCATAGGTTACTTTTTTAAACCTTGAATAGCAAAAGCTTTATGACCAACAGAGTTAAATAGCATAAAACCTGTTAAAACCATATCTTTGTCAAATGAATGCTTCTATATATTTTAAAGAGTTTTTTTTTGAAAAACAACTTATACTATGTACAAAAAAGTCAGAACTTTAGCRATCCATAATAACTACCCAATTCAAACATAAGAAAATGAAGCACATCTTCAAATCCCAAACCTAAGACAGAAATAAAAGAATTTTCATTTTTTACATACATTTATTTTTCATTCTTTACATGCATTTATTTATACACCAACATATAACAGTGTGAGCTAATATTTAAAAAGAAAAGAATGTAAACAGCAATTTTCAAATGCTTTCCCATACACTGAACTTTATTATGAGAACTTTATTAGTAGTTAACAGGGTGAAATAATAATGCTATTTTGCTTTTTTTCAAGGACATTTTTCTTTGCCCCCACAACTAAATTTATGAACATCAACATTTCTAAGTAATTAACATATACTATTCAAAACTTTCCCCAGGTGCAAAATGAAAACCGAGCTGAAATACTTTAGCATTATATACGCTATAAATTAGTTCTAGAGTAGGCTGAATCATAGCTTTGCTTTAAAACTGCCAATAATTTTTATTGTATTGAGTTGTCAAAATCAAGTCTCACATTTGAATTTGTAGCTTTGAATGATGCCCAGTTATGACGACAGAGCTGAGAAAATGGTGTAATGTTTGTATACTTTTAGAGAAAAAAATAGTCTATCAATTATGAAAAAAAAATGCGTTTAGAAAAATGGTATGATGTTAGAGATTCACTGTTTATAGTTTATAACCTTGTACGGAGATAACATATTCAGTTTCCAAAAATCCAGRATACTATTCAGTTGTTCTATAAAGAAGTCACAAATAATTGCTCTGAAACTGATGCAGAGAGTTAGCAAATAATCTGTTTATTATGCAGAATACTACAGTTTCGTCTCTATAAAAAAAAATTCAAGGAGACTTTGAGGCCTTATGATGTAAAGGATGTGATAGAGCAATACTCAGCAGGGCATCTTGATATGCTGTCCAGAATAAAATACCTTCAGACAAGGTAAGAGTCCTCTGGGAAATGGGGAACATATATGCCTGGTTTGGGCAGTAGAAAAGGGTGGCTGTTATGTTTAGATGTAATACATACAGACACACAGTATCTGGAATTGCAACCTTGGGCTAAGTCCTGACCTTCGCTATGCAGTGCAAAATCTGATGGGACACTCTTGACATTGTTAAGGAGCAACTGTTGTTGGAGATTTACCACATTAGGATTAATAATCATGCCACTAATTTGAGTCCCTTTGCAGGAAATAAAGTCTTGTGTTTCAAATGTCAAACTTAGAAAACAACAGGCTGCTTAGATGACCATAATCAACCAATGTACTTGTGGTGGACCTAGACCAGAACAACCAGGTCGTGATCGTCAGTATATTACCAAAATCTAAACATACTTGCATTTTGAATTTTTGCTATTGATTGCTGCAGAGACGAGTAACAGTCTCTGTCCTGTAACAGCATTTAGAGATGGACTTAAACACCTGCATCACATTCTACACTTTTCTTTTTTCTTTCAGAGTAGATATGATTTTTACACCTGGACCTCCATCTACTCCCAAGCATAAGAAATCCCAAAAGGGAGGAGCTTTTTCTTACCCTTCGCAACAGTCTCCCAGGTGAAATTATCCTGCTTAATATTTTGCCAGACCAAAACAAACAAAAAAATGTTCTTTCATACACCAAAACAAGTTTTTCATTCACCCAGCCAGTACAGTATTATAGTAATGATATCAGCTGAAAGGCTATGTTTCCACAAGTTACATATATGTAAGTATTGAATCAGAATAACACTACTTTCCCTATGAACAATCTACAAGGGGAATTKAAATTTAATTGGTGTCTTAATCATCTAGCTCAGCTTCTCTGTGATTTGCAAATCTGGTTATATATGAAGTATGTATATTTACTGATTTGCTGAATTTCTGAATATTCAGCTACTGAAAATTAAAACTCCATTTATCTAAGTCATAAAAAGTTATCTCCTCAACTGGGGGAAAAAAAARAAAAGTTGTTACAGTTTCCTTAAAATGCCAAGCACTGAGTTTTAATAATATTGTTTTTAAATCAATGGCTGTTGAGAATTACTGCAAATAAATTACAATGACAAGTTTCTGGGTGTGAAAGTGGCAGCATGTTATTGCTGCACTGTTAATAGGAAGATTTCAAAATAAGTGGTATTTTTTCTCTTACTTGCAAGTATCAATCTGCCGATAAATAACTTCTAAAGAACCATAGGTACAAAGCAATCGACAATCTGTCGCCAAAGCTGTTACTGTTGTTCAGAACAGCTGTAACCCTGCAGAAAATATATTGTGGGCCCTATTTTGTTCATCCTACTCAGTGAAAAATCTGAAAGCATGTAAATATGAGAAATGAGCTTTATATATACGGAAGAGGCAATGATTATTGGAGAAAAGCAGCAGATTGCAAAATTTGCATGAACCGCTACTAGTGATAACCCAGTGTATAAAATGTGAAGTTCTTCAGTTACAATTTCTGCTTTAGTAAGATATATACACACTATGAATTTTCATTCTGTCAGAAGGAGAATGAATTGGGCCTGTCAAAGCAAAAGTTTTGGGGTATATTTGCTCTTTGTCATATTAGGAACATATGCTAAGAAGCAGGTTTTCTAGCCTCTAACGTAGYATTAAGACACTAATTTGGAAGACACAAATTTAAAAGAACTGGATTTCAAAATACATGTCTATCTGTAGTCTAGCTGTTTCCACTGTGTCAAAATTTTTACAAGCCTGGCGTTATTCCATGAAGTCCGAGGTTAATTTCACTTTCAATTTGATCTTTTTGTTTGCTCTTGCTTTGTTAGTTGCTTTACGCCAGTCTTGAACACAATATAATTTTAAATTAAATATCAGCAATTTTTTGTAATTTTTTTAGAAATATGTAATGTGTTTTGCTATTTATCCAACTCATGTCATAACTAAATTCAATCTTGTCTAAGAAGATGATCTTTTGTGCTATACTAATATTTCTCCAAAGTGTTTCTTCTGGTTTCTTATATATATTAGTTGTCATGATACAAGGAAAATGGGAAAACTAATAGAGTTTTTAATTCTTTATAGAAATGATCCATATGTAGCCAAAGCATCTACAGCAGATACTGAAGACCAAAGTATGATGGGCAAGTTCGTTAAAGTTGAACGACAGGTATGTCATTTCCTGGTATTGAGGTATTTATATGTCAGTGTAGAGAAATGTGATTTTATGGATTCCTACACCAAATGAAAAATTATGTGATCACATGTTGAGTTTTTTTCTGGTGTAAAGTAACTTCAATTTGATTGGAAAAACAAAAGTTGACTTTCTCCCATCAGTTTTAAATCGAGTCARATATTGTCTACCCATGCATCTAACTTTATGTTGAACCACATGCTCCATCAGCTAGCACCAAACTAGTATAAAAGCTAATGCTGACATAAATTTAGTATGATTTTTTGTTTGAGCTAGTCAGATTGGTACTTCTAAGTGATCAAGAGGCACAAGAGATGTTATATTAATAATCATAAAAAATCGTGTCAATAATTTGTCATGAGAGTGCTGCTTAATTGGGAAGTGTGCTTATTGAAACCTATTGAAGTAATATTGTATGCAGTGGGAAGACCCTAAACATGATGTTCATGTGTGACCTTTTTAGCTTCTTTAAACTCATGCTCATCCTATCTGGTGTTTCACAGTGAGCACTGCCTTTTGCAGGGTCTAACGCGCCAATGTATTCACTCCYCAGGTATTTCTGAGCCCCCTTTATGCAACCCAAATAGTTATCAAAGTAATCATGTCATTCTCACTTCTAAATACATAATTAAATAAGATGGAAACAAATGACATCATTGTCACCAATTTCATTAATGGATGCAAGCATTCAGGCACAAATAGCTTCCACRAGGATCAAGGAAGTTAATCCTGATGTTAACCATGACATGTGGAAACTGTTAAGAGCGTAGATGAGTGTGAAAAGATAATTCCATCTGTTGCCTCCCTCAGTATATTATGATAACTTTGTCCATAATGCTGTAGACTCCCTTTGGAGTATCCCTGGACTGTGCAAACTGTCATCCACTGAGGTCCAGCTTCCAAGGGAAAGTCATGATGACCCTGCAGGTGCCTTTATGATCAACAGCCAGAGCAGCACATCATTCCTGGCGGTGCACCTATTAAAGTGTTGACTTTTTCATTGAATAACTGGTTTGCAACAAGTCATAACTTTGGTATTTTTCAGGTTAATGACATGGGGAAGAAACTKGATTTTCTTGTTGATATGCATATGCATCATATGGAACATCTGCAAATACAAGTCGCTGAGATAAGTCCATTGAAAGATACTGTTTCTTCTGCAAAGGAGAAAAGAGAAGAAAACAAATATTCTGAATTAAAAACAATAATATATAAATACACTGAGCAGTGTACTCATGAAAATCCTCATAATTTCCAGCAGGTTCCTGTCAACAAAGTCAGTCCTTATGGTTTCTCAGCACAAGGTCATTCGACTCGTTCACAACCTTTATCAATATGTGGGCAAAACTCTGGCAAAATGCACGCCACACCTTCCTCAACTTCATATGCAGAAAGGCCAACAGTTTTGCCTATATTTACATTAATGGACTCCCAGGTTAGCTACCACTCCCAAGGAGACCTGCAGAGCCCTTACTCAGATAAGGTGTCTCCAAGGCAGAGGAGGAGCTTTACAAGAGACAGTGATACTCCGTTATCCCTTCTCTCTGTCAACCACGAGGAACTTGAGCGCTCCCCAAGTGGCTTCAGTATCTCCCAAGACAGAGACGACTTCCCTTTTGGCCCAAATGGGGGATCCGCATGGATGAGAGAGAAACGTTACCTAGCAGAGGGTGAGACAGACACAGACACTGATCCTTTTACACCAAGTGGCTCCATGCCTTTGTCTTCAACAGGGGATGGGATTTCAGATTCAATATGGACCCCATCAAATAAGCCAGTTTAAAAGAGTGTGGGGGCAGTCACTGGATGACTTCTCCRTGTAATGTAAGCATACTTTGTATATCTCACTTACTGTACACCCAAAGCTTACTAGTTCAAAACACCAATGGCTGCATAAGATGCATGTGATATTAGTGGTAGTCATTCTGCACCATTTCATACAATTTACTAATGCAGTTTTTTTCATGCTACCAAAACTAAGGAGCTTAGTTTTGAGCATGGTTTGCATGACTTTACCCTATATAGATGGTACAGCTGAATTCTTCTATGATACTCTTCTATCTGATACTCTTCAATACAATAATGGTGGATTGATAACAGGCGAGACATGATGGACCTTGCTACTTTTTGTAAACAGAGCGGCAAAGTCAAYGTAGTTTCAGGAGCAATATCTCTCAATGGAAAAAAATCTGAATGTACATTCCAGTGTAAGTAAATCAACCTCTATCCAAATAGCCAAGCGCATCCTACATTCTAAGCAAGGAAAAAGCTGAGTCAAAATAAATGACCATTCTGGAATGATTTTGCAAACTAAATATTTCTCACATGCACTCACATGCAGAATTTAAAAATGATCAAAGCTACCTACAGGAATTAGCCATGTATATTACCTTACTGCAAAATATAACTCTAAATCCCCCAAACTATTTGGAAAAGCTCCACTAATTGTTATGAAATTGGTAAGTGTGATTACAATAGTATTCTGTAGAAAACCTTTTACTAGGCTCATTTGTTTCTTCTAGGGCCAATATTTCTGTTCTAAATAAGGTTGTTCAGTGTTGGGAAATCTAAGTTTCTGCTCACAGCTTTTATTGAGTCATATGGTGTTAAGTGAGCTCTATAATTTAGCTGTGCCTCAGTTTCCTAATCTGTAAATTGGAAGTTATAACCCTCACAAGGAGGACATGAGGCTCAATTCACTGACATTTGGCAAGAACTTTGAGCTCCTCAGATGTGCAGTGTATTGCAATTCTATTCGCTGGTAGTTACACAACACAGAATGCTGCCAGGGTCTAGCTTACTTGGAAATGGCCTGATCCAAACCTATGTATGTGTGCCATATTTAACATCAGTGTACAAATAAATAAATTACATGCTCTCAAAATCTGTCCCTGAGCAACAGAGSGATAAGTATTCTCTCGAAGTGTCAGCCAAGTATCTTGCATTGGAATTGCCTTTTGTTTTGAGTGAATGTAGGGAAGCAATCCAGCAATCCATGGACACAGGGAAGAAATGGAGCTAAGACCTCACCATTGCAGTAGGAATGTGTTATCTTTACATCTAGTGAAACCAACCTGACAAATATCATATGCAAGACTCATCTGATATCTCTCTAGATGTCCAGGACCCTCTAGGAGTCCATGTGATGTTAAGCTTGGTGGCTACACACTCATTACAGCTGGCAGAAAACTAATCAGTTCAGTCAGTGAGCAGTGGGTACAAATCAGCTGAACCACAGCATGCTTATGCTTTATGGTGCTGTTTCACACCTTTAACTCCATTATCTATAATGACCAGGTTGCTACTGACTAGAAAGGGAGCAGAGTGTGACTTGCTTAGAAGTAGGCATGTTGGAAATGGGAGTCAGTGGGAGAGCTTCCATTCCCAACCCATGCATCCATGGTGTAACCATGAGGCCCAGCTGCTAGTGGCACAATTAGTAGGGTTTACCCACTAAATTAAACTTTGTGTCTGTTGATTCTTCATCATCATTGACATCTCATGACAGTCACTCCCTCCAGGGATCTTCTATTCCTTTCCAGACACAGGTATTGCTTTCATCTTCTTTGCTTATTCTCATTTTAAAGTGCCATCTAAAAAGTTAGGATCTTTGTAGCTGCTTCTTTACCTAAAATAATGATTTGCTCTTCCGGGCCAGATCTTCAGAAAGAGCAAATTGCTTCAGTACCTTGAGTCAGTAAGGCATACCAATTACACCCTTTGAAGACTGGGCTAAGTCTGTACAGCTGTTCTGTTCTGAGACAGAGACTATGATAACATGAGGTACCATGACAGTAATTACTTAATTGACAAAATAGCTGAAAGATAGTCTGGCTTTGGTGCAGCTTCAGGTCCAAATGGAAAGAGAAMAAAAATAGCTGACAGAAATGTAATTCATTATAATTTGGCACGTTGAAAACAAAATTCTGGTCGTCAGTGATTCTTGGAAATATTTGCATTGCACCTGCAGCAGGATTTTGTATTACACGTGTAATTTCTATAATATAGTAATACATGGCTGTGGTAAGTCAAGATCTAACCCTCACATGAAAATTGAATGAAAACACCCTATATGAGATTTTAACACTGCAACATCTACTCTGAAATTGAATATGTGTGTGTGTACCAGAAAAGCCTGCTTCATTTTCCTTATATGTCAGGAATCTGCCATTCTCACTTACTTCAGTTGAGTCTGGCCCTTTCAAAAATGCTCTTTAGATATGAGCAATCAAAAATTGAGAGAATTGAAATTTCCCCTTTTGCAGAAGTGAATGTCAAACAACAGTATGCAGTTACATAGAATGTTACTTATGCTCCACCACTGAAGCTGCTCCTTTAAGAAAAATCTAGTCAAATAATAACAATTGTCTTTGCCTTGGCTTTTTCCTGAATTTGAACATGTGGAGAGGTTGATGGACTTCGGGTATATCATTTGCTCTGCTCTAATCTGTAACTTTGCTGCATTGTTAAGGTTCGAGTGGAAATAGTTTCAATTCTTTGTGCTTCAAATTGTGGCCCAGCAACACTGCAAACCAATTCCCACCTGAGCCTGAGCGTAGAGGGGCTGCTGGCTTGTGGCCTTCAGGAGAGTAACCTGGTYCCATCAGTTTGCAGCATCAGAGCCTAAATCAATCAGAAAATGCAGATTAAGGAGCAAATTCAGCCTCACTGAGAGCTCAGCTGTTGCAGCAGTGTCRCATCTGCTTATGCAAGAACTGAATTTGCCCCACTTAGTGCCAAGCACATGAGAAAGAGCTGGATCTTGATTCCCTAAACACCATGGCCCTCTCTGCTAAGCTTTAGAAGCCCAAGAGCCACAGACTGAAATTTTCCATAACACCACATTAATTTGGAGTGGTTCCATTTTTTTCACAAGCCCAGCTGAACTTGGGTGTTCTGCACCGCTTTCATGGGCAAGGAAGAAAAAGGGGTCATTTTCAAGTGTCCTTAGTTGGGCACCTCAAGAAATGAAGGCTTTGGATATCACTATTGCTTCTGATTATTTAGGCTTTCCCAAATACGTTTTTAGTAGCTTCTTGCTCAAGCTGAGCAAAACAAGACAATGGAAGTGGGATCCTATTTCCATTCTTAAGAATATGCTAAGCCTGAAGGTTACATAGACAACTGCATTTTGTTTTCTAGTTATGGCATCTTATTATTACTAGTATTTGTGCCTTGCTCACTGAAACTTTCTCCATGCTACAAAGATGCTTTTCAGATTCTGGCTGACAAGGGAACACAACTTTTATACAAGTGGCCTTTAGTGCTCTTTATAATATTATTTATTGTAATTTTTAAACTGTATGTGTAATTTATATTCTGGCACTGTCAAATATTTGAACAACTTTAATATGTTGATTTCAATATATTATGCAAACAATTCTTCTTAACTGATTTTTTTATGTTCTGTCTTTAAAAACTGCACCACTTATTAATAAATAGAAATTTTAATTATGATGTGGAGGATTTTCTTTTTGTTTAAAACATAATATGTTGAGACACATTTGAGGAACACAGGGAAAAATGTTTTCCCAGCAAAGAGAATAGTATGTTTTACCCTGCATCCCTTCCTTCTAAAGCTAGTCACATTATAATATAGTGCATGGTAAATCTCATTATTTGCGACTCCCTTGGTTTGGTGGCCATGCAACATTTTTTTGATCATAAGAAGAAGAATGAAATTAGAGGAAAATATATTTTAAAATGAGACATTAAACTGATAAAATATGAAGAAACTGGAAGTGAAACATACAGAGGATATGACATTCTTTTGGCTGAAAAAAAAAGCACAGACCTGATCTGAATATGCTTTGCAGGGAATTTAGTGGCTGGGTAAAGTAATAAGTGGAACATTCAGTTTCATGCATTCCTCCCTTAGTTCTGTTACTAGATTTCTGTATGGTCGCGGCCTCAGACCTTTACCCACATTTTCTTCCTCCTGATCTATAAAACGAATGGAAATCGGCCTACAGTGCTACCCCAGAGGAGCACAGYGGGGTTGGAATAACTATTTAAAATGTCTTTCATGGAATGGAAGGGGTTAATGATATCCTAAACATCTCTCTTGCAAACAATTCCATTTGTAGCTTCATATGCATCAATATAGTGCTGAAATATCAGATGTACAGGGTTTGAATTCTCTCAATAGCAGTAGTCACATAACAGTTCAAATTATAATATGTAAGATGCCATTTTTTGTTCTAGTTATATTTCTTCGATAATGAATGGARGGAAATAATAGGCTAACTAAGATCAACAGGCTCAACACATCCTATTACTAATCATTCAGAGTAGTGCTCTTTGGATAATGCCTGTCTCTAGCGAGCATCTTTCTGAACTACGAAGTTAAAGATGACCGAGTCAGACTAACCCATCTCTTTCAGAAAGCTGAATGAGACCAAGTGAGTCACATCCTACTGTATGAGAGAGGAGACTGAAGGGTGAATTGTCCTGCAAGAGAACACCTTGCAGAATCCCTGGGAGTCATGCACACATGGCAGTTGCTCCRTAGCAACCTGCATTTAAATTGTGTAAGAAAAAAAGGCATAAGGAGCAGGGCATTTCTCCCATATTCTTGCTCTCTGTCCACAGAAAAATAAAGCATGACACTCTGATTTTTCTTTCTCCCCTCTTTGCTGAACCCCAGACCACACCCTCTGCTCTCCTACTGCTAAATCACAGGAGTTTGGCCTGAGTGTGACAGATCTTCAGCAAATTAATGCATTTACTTGCTAATATATATGATTAACATCAATACATTGCTGAGAATACCCTAAAAGTTCTTTTCTTTTTTTTCTGGTTATGGATGTGGGGATGATAGCAATGATGTCATTGCTGTCCAAACAGAGACACATGAGAAAAAGAAGGCGCTTAAAGTCTATACTCCTGAGAAAGCTGCTTGTTCAGTGGTGGTCTGAATGAGAACACCACATTGTTCTGAAGATTCAATATTGGGGCTGAACAAAGTCCCTTCCCTGATCACCCGAGCATCACTCCGCAGCAGGGCAAAGGTAAAATTACAGAGCCCCAGGATGAAACACAGCATGAGGTAAAACTGCTGAAAGTCACATTATCTTCATAGCCAAACTTCAAAAGGTTGGAAAGGATCCCAGCACAGACATTTTCCTGACTATACGTGCTTTTGTCATCTGTTACAGAGAAGACTTTCATCCCATTCTGGTTGATGAGACATTGAAGCAAGTGGTAATTAAATTGATGAAAGTAAGGTAAGTTTTGTCAAAGAAAAGSTGTTTCCATGTTCCTCAAGCTGCAGTATTTATTCACAATTCACAAAAATCTGCTTTTTATTTTTCTGGTGACTTCCACAAAGAATTGGATAATTTTAGATGCAGTGACATCTCCACTGATAATGCTTCTCCTTTGAAAATGAAAAAAAAGGATAAAAATGAGTGTGTGTCACACAAGTTCATGTGTGAGCATCAGATTTAAGTGGTTGTCTACCAGATTCAGAAGTTTCTGGTAAAGACAGGCTGGAGGGGCAAACAGACAGATCTGCCACATACAGATGATTGTCCTATAAACTTGTTTTCTGTGGGAAAACAAAACCCCCGGTATCTAAGACACCATTCCAAAAACAACAAAATCACTTTCACATATTTGGTGTGCTGGCAGGCCAAAGTTCTTCAGCAGTTGCAATAGTATTCTTCATTCTTTAGGTTACGTCACAGCTCTCTCTACCTTGGATGGTAGATGCAAGTGGAGATCGGTGGAGATGCAAGACTGGGACAACAAAAATGTTATTGAAGTAAAAGTCAAATATACCTGAGCTAAGTAAATTAAATAGTGCTGCGGATCATTCTTAGATCCTGAAATACAAATATCCATCATATGAAATTCYTAGGGCAATCTCAGAGTTCCCCTGGTTATGGTCAAAAAAGTGTTCTCCACAACCATTCCCAAACTTGTTGCAGGAGAAGCCTAGGACCACCCCAATAGCTGTTTCGTATGCAGCCATGAGCCCTGGGCAAGCTTAATTTAATAAGATAGATATTGCTCTACCCACTACAATTTTTGAATACAGCAACTGCATTAACTCACGTTGTAGTGAGTTTGTAGTGACCTACGATAAAGTACCAAATAGATAATTATCTGTTTTAAATWTTCTTGTGTCTAAATCCACTGATTTCATAAGAATCACTTGCCTTTCATTAGTGTATACTGGAGCAGAACTTAGCTCACTAGTTCAAACAGTTATTATTTCTTACGTAATGCTAAGCATCACTTAGCATCACTAAATTGTGCTATGTCATTGTTACCATCAGCTCTCTCCGGTTTTGGCATCACCTAACCACCGTTCCAGGAAGTTTTCTGTAACTTCCGCTATTTTGTTCCATCTAGTTTTCTGTAGCTAAGATACATACTTCAAGTTTTTTACCCATTGTTTCAGCAATGTTTAAGTTGAAACTCTAAGACTGACAAAACGGTTTTCTAAGGGGCTTGATCTCTCCTACCCAAGGTGGCATTGGCGTAACTACAGTAAAATAAGCTATCCCTTTAAAAGGGGGAAAAAAAAAAAAGAAAAAAAAAAAAAAAAAGAGCTTTCTCTTTGTCAGATCAAGTTATTTCTGCCAACAGTAGCTTCCAATCCTAACCTGAACAGCCAGAGTTACTCTATTAGGGATTCAACAGACACTTTGTTTGCTTATGATTGTGTTACACTTAGTTAATTCCTTTTGGGATCAGGATAACAATTTTCCTGGCATTTTAAAGCAAGATTACCAAGCCTGTCCTCTGAAAGTCTTTCATTAAATGATCATGAGGATCCAGTGATAGTCTCAACTTTTATATCATCTCTGAAGATAATCATCTCCATCAGAAGCAATCAGGTAAATTGATATTAACAGATTACTTACTATCRCAAATCTTGCAGATTCAAGTGTACTTGAAGGAAACTATTTGACTGTGCAATTAATGCTTGATAGGGATGTGGCAAACAACATTTTTATTACATGGTTGCTTAAATTCTCATAAAAATAAATAAAAAGTTAAAAATGATGGTTCTACTCAAGTGAGTAGTAGTAACACTGATATCTTTTCATATGTACTTGGAATATTTCTTTATACCTGGTGTTTTATGATGTGCATAAAATTGAGGGATAATTCTTAGATTTTGGAACTAAGGGGAGATAAGGAAATCACTGCTCAAGGACTTTCTTTTTTTAATTTCTTTAGTGTCTTAACTTGTGTTCTGCTCCATTAACCATGAAGATACGGGAAGTGGAAAAAAGCTTGACATCTGATTCCACTCCCTTTGTACTTCAGAAATGAAAACAATCCTCATGGTAATCTGACACATTAAAATGAGTGGAAATGAAGCAGAGCTAATAAACATGTTGGTTGAAGATTACTGTTAATCCAGAATAATAAATAGCTATTTAATAAAAAAAATTTATGAGCATATAAAGGTAATCTGAGCTGGATTATAGTCTCTAGTTCAATGCTTTAGGGCAGCTCTGGTCATTTTGCAATTATAAGGAGAATTAATACTAGTAATAACATGCAGCCTGAAGTAAATACAGGAAAGGGATTACTGTATCCAGTAGATATATGAGCAGTATTTGTAAATAAAAGCCTGACCTGTAATCTGCATTAAAAAAATGTTTGGAAAGCAAATATTTGCTGAAATTCAAAAAAAAAAAAAAAAAGAATATATCCTTCTGCCTGTTCACAGTTGTGCATCACCTGTTTCTTTAGTGCCTATGAATCACTTTATATTTTGAAACAGAAATTGTTAATGAGTTAAAGTTTGAATATAGTGAGGGTTTCATATTYGTACATTGTCACTTGTGTTAGCAAACTAAAAACTTTCATTAATTACATAATCATTCATTACAAGGTAATGAAGATATGTTCCTCAAAGGTAGAAATTAGGTATCTAGGTAGCCAATGTGAAGCAAACTTGATGTTTGTGATAGGAATTAGTACTCCTATTGCTCATACATTTCTAAGAGATAAGATATATCAGGCTCTAGGGATAATCTTCAAAAATAACTTCAAAATTTAGCTGCACTGCAGAAACATCAAGAAGTCAACGCTAGAACAAGACTTTAGAAGAGGCTATAAGCTAAGSTAATACATCAAATTTAAGCCAGTTTTTAAATTTTGAAGGGTAGGAGCAATTTGTGATGGAGCAGTGCTATTAATATCAAGGTTTCTCTGCAGTTTCTTTTTAACCATCTTGCTGGCCAGAGGATGCAACAGTGCTAAATCTGGCTTTCAGGCAAAACATGTCCTCCTATAAATATAGAAATTTATATTAATTCTATACAAAATGATCCAATATTTCTTTCCTGGAAATGCAATTGGATTTGGCTTTATGTGATTTGTCCTCCCAGGTTATGTTTGCATATTATCTGAATCATTAGGTGCTTCACTTGATTGGTTCTGTAGTGTTTAATCACACCTCAGATACCAGTGGATGTTATGATTATGATAATAACCATGCTATGAATCAGGCATCCAGAGCAAAGCATGTTAAAAAGCAAATGTTCAAAGCAAAGTGGAATTGGGACAAAACCTCTGTGTCATCAATTCAGCAGGCAGTGCAGGAGGGCAGAAATGTGYAAATTCAGGGGGACAAGAAGGTACCTCTCCATATCCATGGGATTCTTGCAAACATACCTTTGTATTTCACTCCTCTCAATTATATTGTTTTATCAGCTCATTTTTTCTTATTTCTCTCTCTAAACACATCAAGAGAGAGAGAGGGGAAGACTGAGAAACAGGAGAATTGTCTTTAAACACATCAAGACAGACAATTCTCCTGTTTTTCAGTCTTCCTCTCAATCATCTCTCTTTTATCTCTTAAATATGCATTTTCTCTCTCCTACTCCAATGCTCTACTGAGCCCTTTGTCAGACTATTTTCACTGTCCCACTATCTTGAGCAGCTCTGTATTATCTTAAATAAGTTAGCAATGAAGTTAAATCCTTGTTAGGAAATTAACTACAGAATCCTTATTAGGAAATTATYTACATTGTATCTTGGAAAGATTTGTTGAACACCTGCAATTGCCTATCAGTCTGTGAAATCCTGTTGCAAATGTCAAGGGATTTCTGTGTTGGTGCCAGCATGACAGGCTGGAGATATGGGAGAGTTTGTGCTCGTCAAAGCATGGCTTGGAAATCAGGTCTCCCCATTCTCTCAGAAGAACTTAGCACCAGTTTGTAAGGGTGGACTGAAAGTGAGAAGGAGAGCCCTTATGACCTCTTCCTTTCCTCCACTTCTTTGTTTTAAATAAAAGTTTTTTTTAATGTGAGGTCTCTCCTGACACCCACTAAGATGCAGAGGAAGAATGAGAAACTGTCAAAGTCTTTTCCTTCTCCTTCTCCTTCTCCTTCTCCTTCTCCTTCTCCTTCTCCTTCTCCTTCTCCTTCTCCTTCTCCTTCTCCTTCTC